AAATCTTCACTATAGCCTTATAGCGAAGTTGAGGTCTAGGACATAGAGTTCGTTATAACAAGAGTTGACTGTAATAAGTAATCCTATCAAAAAATGTCATAAAAAATTTATAATTAATTTGTAAAAATTGAAAATAATATTTAAACTTGACAATTTAATGAGACAGCTAAGTATAGGACTGGTTCTTGAGACCTAATCCTAAATCTAAAATTTTAAATTTTAAGAAATTCTGAAATCTAAAGAGAGTTTATTATATATTTTTATTTAATAACTCATTAAAACATTATAATAGACAAGTTTTATAATAAATTTGTAAAAATAAGTCTTTGTAATTAGAATTACTTAACATTCTTACAATTTTTAATATATTAAAGTCTTTCACAAATGAGAGACTAGTTGCAATTCCTTTTTTTTAAGATCTATTATGATTTTTTTTAATATTAGCCTCTGACTTTTATGAACTGTGATAACCTATGCAAGGCAAATGGTGATTTATAATTATAATCAAATAGTTCTTTTCTTCCTTTCTATATATATTTAATTAAAGTAAGAAATAATCCTTTTTGTAGTTATTATAAATAAATTATAATAATTTTTGAATTCTACTAGAACAATAATAGAAAATAAAAGAGATAACTGGTTTTGTTTAAATATAATTTCTTGAATAATACCTATTAAACTATTGATTAAATCAGATTCTATCTATAAATTTACCTTTAGCATCATTATTGTATTTTTTACCAGTAGTAATTAAACTTTGAATTCTTTTACTATATCTGAGTCAATCTTATGTGTTTCATTACCATCTATATATATAGCATGATTCTGATAATAGAATAATTTAATGATTCAAGTTTATAAATATTGAATTCAGCAATATTTAACTTATAAAAATTATATAGAAAGCATTTGAGAAATCACTAAGAGATACATTTTATGCATTAGTAACTTGTGTAGCAAGTATTTTTCAATTATTTATAATAGATTTACCATTTTATAATTATAATAATATGTTTTTAATATTACTCTAATTATCAGAATCTTCTGACTAGTATTGAATAATATCAAGCTTATAGACTTTCTAAAATTATTTATATGCTATAATACCATTATTTGATAATGAATTATATTAAAAAGTCTAAGAATACATAAATTCATCTATTATTAATAGGAGCTGTCTAAAATCATTAACCAAAATAATTGATTAGCTACTAAAAACTTGATTTACTATTTCAGAAATGCTTGACATAATTTTATATCAATTAAAATAAGTATATAATACTTTATTATACTTTTTATTAATAATTAAATATTTTATGCTATCTATTTTTTTAGACTTTTTTTTATTAAAATCAAGATTAATATTATGTAGTTATAGAAAGATATTAATACAAAAGATCATGTGATACACGTGATTAGAAGGCATATTGACTGCATCACGTTAAATGATGAAGATAGCGAAAATGGTGAAGACAAGAGAAATAAATTAAACAAAGATTACGCAAAAAACCCAGAAGTCGCTGGAAAATTCTTTTATATTATTAATCATTAATCATTATTAATCATTTATTATTTATAATCAATTAGTATTTTATTTATTTATATTAGCAGAATTAGTATAAATAGGATAGCTTTAGGACTTGGTTAAAGAACATGATTAGATAGCAGTAGACAATTATAACAAGATAATTGTAAACATTTAGAATTCAATTAGTTTTATCACCAACAAGATAAATACTAATAACAGTTATATGCTAACAAATATAATTGTATCGAATTCTTTATTCTTTAATAAATCCTCAAAGTTTATTCTAAATATACCTTATCGTTTGAAGTAATAATCATTTATAAACCCTTCAGAGCTCTTCCTAAAAAGTATTGAATAAAAGCTAAATCCCTTTGTTAATCTTGCATTAATACTAATTTTTAGTCGTTAGTATTATAAGATAACAATTTGGTGCGGGTTGGGTGGAATAAAAACCAATCTGACAAATCAAATATATGCGAAGAATACTTAAACAATTAACAGTAGCTGTAGGACCTATTCTCCTCCAACTCCAGCTGCGAGTCGCTGAGATTCAATTTCAGTATAAAGCATTAGAGAATAAAAAAACTATTTCAATCAATTGTCTTAAACGTTTACAAAGTAACATTAATGATCTAAAACATTTTATTGAATTTCATAAGATTAAGGCCACGTGGGATGAATTAGTATTTAGTGATGACTACTTTGACAACGAGTCTCAATAAATCTGGAGAAATCTACCACTGATCATATCACTGAGAAACAATACCTATTAATCGTCCGACAACACATAGCTGCTCATAAGGAACTTGAGGATCATAAAATCTCATTTATTACCCATTTAGATAAATCCTACCTACAGTGTTATCCAGATTACGAAACTCAATCAGGAAAACTACCATCTTTCGATAATTTTTGGTTTTTGTTGATTATACCTAAATATAATACTATATCATACACTACCTTTACTGTAGCATATTTTATAAGGGCCCAAGAAAGTGAGGCTAGCTTTTTGGAAAGAGATCACTTATTGAAATATTTGTTGAGAAAAATTGTTATTACAATTAGATATAGGGACAACATACTAAAGGAATTCTTTGATAGCATCGCTGATAAATTATATCAAATTTGGGTAAAAACAAAACAGTTTCAGTCATGGAAAATTGAAAGTGTTAGCAGTACTGACTCAATTATAAACAGCAATTGTAGTGATACTTCAGAAAATATGGAAAGAGATCAAATGATACTATCATAGCACCTTTTCAGGGAAGCAATGAAAGTTCCCAGGGATGACACTGCCAGTAGCAATGTATGGACCACCATCAGGAACTACCACACCTCAACCACCATCTAATATACCATTATATATACTACCACGACAATCATACCTGAGAGATAGGAGGCAATATGACGAAAAAGAAAATGATACATATGCCTCTGATTATGAACAAAATATCTTATTTGGATATATTAATGACGATGATGAAACATTATAGGGAATATCTTTCTTTGACAATACAAATGAACTAAAGAGAGGAGGAACCCCAAGTAGAATACGTCGAAGAGTTACATTTAATACAAGAAATGATAGGAGATCTCCATCCTCTATTAGGGTAGAAAATGTTCAACAATTAGTAGCCTCAACATTATCCAGTAATCAATCATCAAGGCTATCAAATTTAAGGGTAACAACTCCATCAGTAGGAAATACAAATAGTGGATCATCATTGGAAAATCCCTACAATTTTTCTCAAGCAACTCAATATAGTCGTATGTTTAATCCCTTGGCATCACTTGATCCTCTCCGAAATAGTAATTTTTCTACAACCTCTAGTTTTACAACTGCAAATTGGCAACCAGTAAATAACCGTTGGCTTGAAAGTAACTCAAATAACAGAGGAAATAACACAATGGGATATCAAAATGTAACTACTAAAAGAACCCCACAGTCAACAACAGTAACCCAACTATATAATATGCGACCACCATCAAATTCCTAGGGGGTAGTTCTCGATTAACCAGTACAATAACTTCTCAGTCAGTACCTAGCAGTCAACTGTCAAATAATATAAACACCTCTCAGCCAATACTTACATCTCAACCAGCTATAGTACCAGTAGGAGGAAACAATGACAATGTTTACCTTTAAGTTATACAAGGGTTAGCAGGATGGCTTCAAGGACAACAAATGAGAGAACAATGATTGGTAGATTTACCAACATTTAGAGGAGGAAATCAGAACCCAGTGGAGTGGCTTGAGGCTTTTAAACGAGCTTATAAAGCAAACCGCATCAATACCACTCAAATGGTTGAAATAGTTCCCAGTTATTTAACAGGAACAGCACTGACATGGTTCTAATGACAATATGTTACCAACTGGAATAGTAGAATCAATCCCGGTATTTCCTTCGTACTATTATTTGAACAACATTTCTGCAATGTATTTCGACAAAATCAATGGAAGCATTAGCTTAGGTATAGGACACAGAAACAAGATGAAACAATTGAGGAATATGCGGCAGCAATAGGAGAACTATGGAAGTGAGTCAACCCACAGTATAGGCGAGTTAAAATGGATAGAGTTGTTAAATTTATTGAAGGGCTGCGATCAGAATTTATGGTACCAGTACAAACAGCAATGCCAATAATAGTATATCAAGCAATCAAAAAGGCCAGAGCAGTAGAATCTGCATATTCCATTAGAATAGAATTATCTGCCTATTCATTGATGCCTAATTATATGCAATTATTACAAGGAGGAATGGTACCAGCTCGCACAAATATAGCAATGCAACCTACATATATTATACAGCAACCAGATATTGAGGGCACTATTAATCGCAAATTGAATGAAGGATTACAAGCGATTATGGTAAACATTGGGTAACAGCAGCAACAACAACAGCAGCAGCAACAGCTACAACAACGACCACGCGAATGTTTTAATTGTGGAAAATTTGGACACTTGTCTAGAGATTATAGGAGTAATCGACGTATAAATAATGATCAATCAAATATTGAATGCTTTAACTGTGGAAAGTATGGCCATTTCGCCAGAGATCGTAGGAGTACAAACAATAATAGAGGTCGAAACTTCCAAAATGATAATAATAGAAATCGTAACCACAGTAATAGCAGGAATAAGAATTATAGAAATAATAATAAAAATAATAACTACAATAATAACAGTAATAATAATAATAATAACCAACAGCATTTAAACTAGAAGTCACACCTCTTAGGGTGAGTGTGCGAACAAACCAAAGCCAGGACCTGGAAAACTTCTAATAGGGGTTACCGTTAAAATTTGAAAAAATCATATGATTGCGAACCACATGATTTTATTAATTATACAAACTAAAATGACGGTAAGTATAAAATAATTAAAGGTATTCGAACCATAAAAATACAGCAATATATTTATAGTTTTATTATTATAAAAAACAACAAAATTAGCTATAATATTTAATTATTTAAGAAAAATTTTTGTAAGATATGATATCATTTCAGGTGTTTTGAAATGCCAAAAAACTTCCATAGCTTCTGTTGTTAAAGTAAAAAAAGAATCTTGAGAATCAATAAAAGGAGGTAAATTAAAATAATATAAGACTTCTTTTGCTGGAATGTGACCAACTAATTTCCCTCCTACTTCACATGTATTAGTCCAAAGATTATTATAAAAATTCAAATAAATTTTAACTGAAAGATAAGATAGGTGATCCAAGAATTCAACATCTCCATTTATCTAAACATGTCATTCTCCTCGCTTTTCATACATTGAAATAATTTGAGCAATACAAAGTTTTTTATCAGAATAAATGATTAAATATTCATTTAAGACTAAAGGATGAATAGTAAACACATTTGCATCGATAATATTGTGTACTTTAAAAAAATTATATTATTAAATTAATAGGTTAAAAAAGTTAAAAAGATAAAATAATATAAGTTTAAAATGCTAATAAATAATACCATTAATTCCAGCAGTTATTGAAATAGTTGCAAGTCTTTTACGTCCTTCCCAACGATCTTTTCGTTTATTTATACGATTTTCTTGAATAGAATTATTTGTAAATTCAGTAATTAACTGGTTAGCATTATTAAGATTAAGTAAATCAGTTGTGTTACATACAGATTGATTGTTAGAAATTCTTTTTGAATGCCGTGAGAAAGCATCATAGTTTTTTCGAATATTAATTAAAACTTTAGAACACAAAAATCCTTCAGGTATAAAAAATAGATTAAACTTTTCAAATTGTCTTTGAGGAATTGGTTTTTGATTAAGGATATATTGTAAATCAGGAAATTTTGTTAAAGAATTTGTTATTTTATTTTCATCTATAATTTCTTCACTATCATCAGATTTGTCTAATAAGAGTCGAGAAACTTCAAATGCAGCAGTTCCAATATTTTCAGATCCTATTTGTAATTCAATTTGTTCTAATATAAAATAATAATTTTAGAAAATTTAATAAATATTTAAATTAACAAATAAATTAACTTCATACCAAAATCTTGATTTTGATCATCTTCATTATCAATTATTTTTAAGACATCTGTATTATCTGAAAAAATTTTAATCTGTTGTTGAATTGAAGTTAAATTATGATTATTAATTTCAAGATAATTTGCCAATGCTATTGCTTCATCATATCAAATGCGAATTGCTTCTTTAATATTATCTTCAGATGGCCAAGTACGTAAACATTCAATAGTTTCATGAGAAATAGAAGTTCCATCAATATCAAATACATAACCTAAAAAATGTTTAAAATTGTAAATTTTTAATTAACTTATATTTTAATTAATATAAATTCTTACCTGCAGCTGATGTTCGATCTCTTGATGTATCAATTAATCCAACACGTGATATTTTATCTTGATACATAACACATTTTTGAATTTTATAAAATTCATAAAAGTTAAAATCTGCTATTACTTGGCATGATATACCAAAAATATGTTCAATTGCTTCAGTTTCATGTTCTCATAGAAATAAAGGATATTTAGAATAGTAATCTCGATGAACCAAAATAAGCATTATTAAGGATTCTGCTATACTAATAAAGATTTCAAAGCTTTGAATAGAAATAATACTATGTTGTATATTATACCATTTTGATGAATGAGTTGTACCACAACGTTTAATATAATCTTTCCAAATTTTAAGAAAAAAGAATACACACATAACCATTTGAATTCTTGCTTTATGATCAATTTTTCGATTAAGATATGTATCACATAATTCTCCTATTTATTAAAATAAATATAAATTAATTTTTAAATAATTTTATTTTATTTTAAATTAAATAACTTACCAAGAATAAACAAGTAAATAAAAAGTCCAATCATATTAGAAGGAACATTTTCTGATTCAACAATTTGTGCCAAAGTTTCTGAATGAAATATTCTATATGCAGTACTATCATCTTGTTTATCAACATTAATAACATTCCATTTTAATAAAATATGATTTTGTATTAACTGAAAGAGTTGATCATATCATGCAGTATCTATTTCTAATGAAAGAAGTTGTGCTCTGGTAAATAGTTGATTTCATGCTGTCTTTTTAGCATGCTTTAGATCCTGAATATGAACCAATGGTTTTCCATTAATAATTGGTACTTTTAAATGCACATCATAAAACGGATCATCAAATGTAAAATATATTGATGCTGAATTTATAATTTGTGTTTGGACATTAAATTCTGAACGTGCTCCATCAGCTTCTATGCTAAGAATATTGATATTACTCTAATATGCAAAATCTAATACAATTTTAAAAATATTAAAAATTTGTTTCGCAGATTCATCACCTTTTGTAGGTAAAATAGCAATTGGTGTTGGAGGTATTTTTTCAATTGGAATCTAATTTAATTAATATTAGGATAATATAAATAATAAAAAAAATAGTTCAATTAAAAAAATCATAAAAAAAACCTTAAGAACAATAACCCGAACTTGTATTGCAATTGCATTCTTTTCATAAATATGCTTTATTTTTGAATGTATATCATTAATGTCAGAAATTGAGACTTCATTTGAAGATAAAGTGGATCCAGTAATATAACCAAGCTCTTGATAATATACTAGTTTAGAACGAATCTTTGTACAATTAGTCATTAATAAAATTGGTCCCTCCCATTTTAACTCTTTCGCTATATTTGCAAATTTCATTACATTCTCTAAGATTAAATTAGGATCTGTAATTAATTCAGTATCTGAAACACGTATTTGGCTTAAATAAATTAAAATATAAATTAATAATTTCAAAAATATAAAAAATTAAAGATAACAAGTATATATATATATACCGAATTCTTTGAGCAGACATTCCTCTTAATGCCTTATGAAAAATTTTATATTCACGACTACTTTCAGACAATAAACTAAAAAAGTGTGTAAGATGTTTAGAATATCGCAAGCCTTTCATACTAATACCTGCACCTTTTTTTTTTAATTTGTAACATTAAAGCAGCTAATTCTGTAAATATCTTTTCACCACTAAAAGTACCATTCATTCCCATTTGAGCTAAAGAGGCTCACATTGCTGAATCATCATTATTGGTAATTATGCAAGTCCAAAGATTTCGAAGATTTCCATTTTTCAAAAGTTGAAC